TTATATACGAGCTCAAAAACCGATAAATAACGGAAATGTATGAGAAAGAGAATTTTCGGTTTCACCATTAGCGGTGTCGTCACGTATGAGCTTGATCAATATAGTAATAGTACCCTTTTGTGAAACCGGAAAGCCAAGAACAACTTACCAGGGGCAATGTAGCCATATGATCCAGCAACAGCCGACACCGACTTAGATTGGGGCATGTCAATCACTTTTGCTAAACCGAAATCACCGACATGTGCTACGAAATTTTCATCAAGTAAGATATTATTGGACTTGATATCTCGGTGAACGATCCTCGGTTTGCAGTCGTGATGTAAATAGGCAAGACCTTCAGCAGCTCCTAGGGCAATCATAAACCGAGTTGGCCATTCTAAGATACATGAAGCCCCATGAAGTGCTTCACCCAAACTACCGTTTTCCATGTACTCGTAAAGAAGCACATTGAAACCTCGGTGATAGCAGAAACCATAAAGCTTCACAATATTCCGATGCCTAATGTTTCCTAGAGTTAAAATCTCGGCACGGAAACTGTTCTCGATGTTGTTTCCCTCTGCTTTCGATGCTAGCCTCTTAACGGCAACCATTTGTCCAGAAAGTATAACGGCTTTATAAACCGTTCCATAAGCTCCCCTTCCAACAATAAAACTCTCATGAAAATTATTCGTAGCCTCGATTAGATCTTGAAATGCAAACCCTTCTTTCGGATGGAAGTAAATATCCGAAGCCGGTAGTGGTATCTCCTTGTCTTTCACGGATGCAACACTTTCATGTGGACGCCTCATTTGATATATGAGAATTACAATGAGAATTAAAGATGCCCCGCCCACACCACCTGCAACTATCGTTACGATTCTTCCTCCTGTACCCTTCTTTGCAGGTAGCATCGGAGAAGATGAATCTACCATGCAATTACGAAGAGGCCTACCACAAAGTCCTTTATTTTCGATAAAGCTACTAGTCGGCATGTTCTGAAATAACGGGATGGCAGGTAAAGGTCCGGTTAAGTTGTTGTACGACAAGTTGCATACCATTAAACTTGGTAGGTTCTCGAATGTGCTGGGAATTTCACCACTCAAGTTGTTATTATTGAGTAGGAGAAACTCCAACATATTAAGAAGTCCGAGCTCTCGAGGTATATTTCCAGTGAGACGGTTATTGCTAAGGTTCATTGCAATCTGCAAGCTTGAAAGGGAACCCAACCGACGGGGTATCTCACCGGAAAATAAGTTGCCACCCATCTGAAGCTCAGTCAAACGTGATAAGTTCCCCAAAGCTGCAGGTATATTTCCCGAGAACTTATTTTCCGAAAGTTTCAGAATCTCGAGTTGTGTAAGGGTTCCAAGCTTATTTGGTAAAGCACCAACAAAGCCGCTCCGGCTGAGATCAAGTCGTTGAAGCTTCTTGCAGTTAACTATCTCATGTGGAACCCGTCCAGAAAGCAAATTAGACGAGACATTAAAAGTCACTAGTTGAGACAGACTGCCTATCTCCTTAGGCAGCTCGAAACTAAAACGATTCTCGGCAATATGAAGCCTTTGAAGCTTTCTGCAATTTCCGATCTCTGAAGGAACTGGTCCGGAAAAGTTGTTCTGGTCCAATTCGATAACAGAAAGATTCGCCAGTTTGCATAACCGTGAAGGAAAGCTCCCTGTCAGCATGTTCCGGACCAAACGAAGTTGCACTAAGGTCTCACATGTCTCAATCCCGGTGGAGATATTCCCAGACAGCTTATTAGCTCCAAGGTTTAACAAAATAAGTTTACCATGCCAACAAAGATTAGGAGGTATTCTGCCTGTCAAATGGTTGTTAGAAAAATCAACCACCAAAAGTGGGCTATAAACTCCAAGCTGCTGAGGAATGGTTCCGATCAGAAAATTGTCGAATAGCTGTAACTGAACCAATTTGGTCAAATATTGGAAACCATAAGGAATGGGACCTGTAAGATGATTGATCGAAAGGTCAAGGTTGGTCAAGTTCTTCAAGCTACTAAGCTCATTTGGTATGACACCAGTAAGCCGGTTCTCGAATAGGTGCAATAAGTGTAGACCCTTTATGTTGTTGAACTCGGTTGGGATTTCGCCCGTCAAAGAATTCTCCGAGAAATCGATTTCCATAGCAAGTGATAGATTCCCTATCTCCCTCGGAATGCTTCCGTTCAATTGATTCCGGTATAGATACAACTCCTTCAGAAACTTGAGGTTCCCAATCTCTGCGGGTATCGGTCCGACAAGCCGATTTGCATACAATGCAAGTGTCTCAAGTCTGGTACAGTTTCCAAGCTCCTTCGGAATAAACCCGGATAACTGATTCTCCCATAAAATCAAATCAGTCAAGCTTCTGAGCATTCCGATTTCCTTAGGCAGTTCTCCTCCAATACGGTTCTGGGCTAGACCAAGCATTTCTAAGCTTCGACACCCACTGATTTCAGCCGGAATGTTACCGGAAATCGCGTTCTGTCCAGCTCGAAATGTCCTCAACTTCCGAAGATTCCCGATAGAGCGGGGCAACGGCCCAGTTAAGTTATTAGTGTATGCCACAAACTCATCTAGTGAGGACAAATTCCCAAGCTCTTCAGGAAGGGAACCAGAGATTTTGTTGTTGCATATATTCAAACTTCTCAAATAAGAGAGCTTACCCAATTCACCAGGAATCAGACCACTGAAACGGTTATTATTCAAATAAAGAAAGACGAGACTTGAACAATTCCCAATCTCCTCCGGTATATTCCCGCTGAACTCGTTATAAGACAGATCGAGGAATTTCAAGTGGATCAGACCACCAATACTAGGACTCAGGATTCCCGAAAGATTCATCGAACTCAAATCAACAGACGAGACCACCGGCTCGTAATCTGAAGAACAATTGACACCTCTCCACCGGCACGGCGTCTCGTCAGTGGACTTCCAGTTCCCAAGATGGTTGTATTCATCATGAAGACTATTCTTAAGCTCTAGCAGCAATTGGCCCTCGGAATTTATCCCGTCTGCTATAGTTATCAGTAGAGCCGAAACCAGTAGAAACCTCCAAAACCCTTCCTCCAAATGTCTTCTCGATTCGAAATTCCTCGACATTTTAGTGATTGCAATGATCTGTATCCTGCACAACAAGAATTGCTGTTATCACAATTTACAACCCAAAAAAAACGCATATGCCACCATTACAATGTAGAGTTTTTTTAAACTTTGAACGCATCTGGAAGAAACTATGGACCGGTTATCTACATAACTGTTATCACTTCCAAGCATTCGAATACTCTAAAACCGATGCATTCATCGAAATTTACAGAAACGAAACTGGAAAAAGGAAATATAGAACATATAAAACATACCACTTTGGTCAATCCCAAAGTCACCTCTTCATCAAATAGAACTCCACCATATAACTGCAACTCCCTGAAGGACGACGATTCAGTTCCGGAATCGAACAAATACAACTTAGACAGCTTGTTTTAACAATTGATGAGAACCTTGAAATCGAACCACTTAGTACATCCCTCTTAATAAGCAATTAACCATGGAGAAACATCCACATGAAGCAAGATAATGTAAGCAATCGATACCGCTTCATTTATCCCATGTTTGCTTCAAAATCCGACCGAGTTGAAATCTTCAAGCATAAGTTCCAGACATGTAACCTATCATATAAACACCATACAGGCAAACTATTAGAGTGATGGAGCAAACAAGCACGATTAAACACAGCAGTGTAACATTGCATCTTTGGCATATAAAGTTTTTAATATTTAACTTTCAACTTTCTTTCTCATTCAAAAGCAGAATTGAGGCCTAAAATACACAAATTTCAGTACCCAAAAAAAAACCTTTAAATTAATCCCTACAGAATATGCAAAAGCAAAACTTATATTACAAATCTGGGTTTTTCACTGGACAACAAGCAATCTCATAAATTGAAAGATTCTTCATCAAACAACACCATCAAACATTATTCTAATATAAAAAATCCATCAACTTCAAGGTATAATACCCACCCAATGACAACAGAAAAAGAACCCACAATTCAGAACCAAAAAATATTAAATAAAAACTACTGGTGAGACCCACTAAATCTTCCAGCAAAGGGAACAAGAGAAATGTCAACAGTTCCAGAACAAATTCTATGGATATAGAAGAAAAAATTAGCAAACAAACCCTTTGTTTATACTTCTATGGCATCCAAATTTTCCAGCAATTACCTACCAAACTAAAAAGAACCAAAAAAAAAACAAAGGCTTGGGATTTACCAAAGCATTGAAGCATAATATGGAATTAGCAGAACCAAAAGGCAGGAACGTTGGACATGAGAAGCTAACAAAAATGGTTTCTTTCTTTTTCCCAGAAACCAAACAGCTTTTTTATCAACTCTTCAAAGAAAAGAAAGAAAATTTTCTCAGGAAAAGTTGGGTTTTTATAGGATTTGGCAGTGGCAGCTTTGATCTTCCAAGGTAGGCACTGCAATAAAAATGGAAGTGTTTTCTAGTCCAAGAAATGAAATCTTTTGATCAGATTGGTGAGTTAGTTTTCCAGACATTATATCAAACTCCTAATTTTAATTAGTTAGCCATGTGTGAGTATTACTTCCTGTCCAGAATAAAAGCTCATATTTTCTTTTCCTTTTTTTATCATAATTTTCCTTTTTATTTGGCTCACGTGGTTATCAATAATTACGTCAGCTATACTGCTCTGTTGACGTCAGAGCATATGTATTAATGCAAATGAGGAATCTTACAAGTATGACTGGAGTTTTATTGTCTAAATTATATGTAAGTTTTTATCTTATGTCATATTACATCAATTCAGTATGATTTAAGTCTGAATCTATTTTATTTTTTAAATTTGAATGTGTATACAATATCTAATTATAATTACTAAATGAATATGATCCGTTTACCTTATGTAAAATTAATAAGTTTTACTTTAGTTTATAGCAGTTAAATTTAACTGAATAAACGACTTTGATTTAACTGAAATGTATAATTCATAAATACTTTTGAAGCCATGTATGTTGAGATGGTGAGGTTTTATACTGAGTTATTTGGCTTTGAAGATTCCGGTGTCAAAAGCTGCGATGTGGATGTTCTTAAGGGGTTGCTGGGGTATGAACTCTCTTGTGATGTTGTTGTCTCCTTAGTGAAGGAGGTCTCTAATGAGGAAATCAAAGCCTGATGGGTATACTGTTTATTTCTTCAAGGTGGCCTGGGATATTGTTCAAGTGGATTTCTTGGCTGCCATTAAAGAATTTTTTCAGAGTGGTACCTTGTTGCTTGCCTTCAATGCTACATCCATTGTCCTTGTGCCTAAGACTCCCAATGCAGGTATGGCTAAGGATTTTTGCCCTATTTCCTGCTGCTCGGTTGTTTATAAAACTATTATTGGCATCATTGTTAACTGCTTGGCTAGATTCTTTCCAGACATGATTTTGTCTAATCAGTCTGTTTTTATTAAGGGTCGTAGCATTGTAAACAAAACCCTACTAGCTCAGGAAATAGTTAAGGGTTACTCTCGCAAGTCATTGTCCCCTAGATGTGCTATTAAGATTGACCTTAGGAAGGCTTTTGACTATATTTGCTGGGATTTTTTTTATGAAAGTTCTTGCTGCCCTGGGGCTTCTTGAGGTTTTTAGAGTTTGGATCAGGTCTTGTATCACTGGTGCAAGATTCTATGTGGCTTTTAATGGGAGCTTAGTGGGGGTTTTTAAAGGGAGGAGGGAAATTAGGCAGCGTGACCCACTGTCCCCATATCTTTTTATCCTGGTTATGAATGGTCTGTCTCATTTGATAAATGTTGCTGCTAAGAATGGTTTAATTCGGTTCCATCCTAAATGCAAACGTGTTTCTCTCACCCACCTTAGTTTTGCTGATGATTTGCTTATTTTCTGCCATGGGGATGAGAGTTCTATTTTGAGTGTTGTTGGAGTCTTGGGGGTTTTCTATGAGCTGTCTGGCCTTCAACTGAATGCTGGTAAGTCTGAACTGTTTGCTTGTGGGGTTCATAATGATATTTTGAGCAAGGTGCAAGCAGTTACTGGTTTCAAATTGGGAAGATTTCCAGTCAAGTACCTTGGAGTGCCTCTAATCACTAGAAAATTACTGGCCAAGGACTATCTTCCTTTGATTGACAAGATCAAAAGCAAACTGAGTATGTGGTCTAAGTTGAGGTTGAGTTATGGTGGTAGGCTCCAACTTATTCAATTTGTGCTTTTCAGTATCTCTAATTACTGGTGTAGGCAGCTGGTCTTACCTAATGAGGTCATCAAGCAGGTTGATCAGCTTTGTATGAGATTCTTTTGGAAGGGGGGAGACATTCCTGCTAGGGGGGCTAGAGTTAGTTGGCTGCAAATGTGTTGGTTAAAATCAGATAGTGGTTTGGGTTTAAAAAGCCTAGGTTGTTGGAAGAAGGTGTGTTGTTTCTTGTTGATCAAAAACATTCTAGCAAATGCAGGGTCACTTTGGGTGGCCTGGATCAAAGAATATGCTCTGAAGGGGACTGCTTTTTGGGAAGCTAGTACCAAACCTCAGCTTAGCTGGATCTTGAGAAAACTTCTTAAGCTTAGAAATGAAGCTGCAGATTTATTTGGAAGTGTAGTGGACTAGAACATAGTTAAAAGTAAATAGGTGTGGGAGAAGCTGAGAGACAAGAGGGAGAAGGTCATATGGGAACACCTAATTTGATTTCCCTTACATGTTCCAAGAATGTCAATTGTTGCTTGGATGGCTATTTTGAATAAGCTTCCAACCAAGGACAGGCTCATCAATATGGGAATGAAATTAGATGGACTTTGTGATCTCTGCAACGCTGAGTTAGAAGACAGAGACAATCTCTTCAATAACTGTGCTTTTGTGAGTGGAATTTGGAGAAAGATTCTACAGACCTGCAAAATTCCCCATAGGAATCTGTGTTGGAGTGATTCTTTGGATTGGGCAGCAGTCAATTTCAGGGGTAAATCCTTGCTAGTTAGTATTTTGAAACTAGCTTGGATTAGTCTTTTATACTTTGTATGGGAAGAAAGCAATTTCAGGCGCTTTAGAGGCTGTTCTCGGTCTGCTGATATTATCTTTAAAAGTATTAGAAGATATGTTGGTGATAGGATAAGTGCAATATTAACAAGGCTGACAGTGTTAATCTCCATCTTTGCCTGGAATGGAACATTGGCTAGTTCTGGTGGCTGTTTTAATGTTGTGGACTGTCTGGTCGTTCTTTCTTTGTAATTTGCTTACTTTGCTTCTTCCTTTGTTTACTTTGACTGATTGTTTTGTTATGGTTATTACTTAGGTTGATAGCAGGGGTCTGATATTTTATTGACTTTTGGTAGTTTGTACTGATTGTAGCTCATTATTGTTCTTTCTTTTGGGTAATAAAAACCAAATTATCCAAAAAAAAACAATAATAAAATAATATATTTTTATCTCGTTCTCAACCTCGACCCTAAAACTTTAAACGCTAAAACCCTATCTCAAACATCAAACTCTTAACTTTAAACTCTAAGCTCTAAATCTCATATCCCAAATCATAAATCTTAAACTACAAAATTTGAACTCTAAACCATTTATTTATTTAAATCTAAGGATTATAAATTAGCATAATACTTATTAATTTTATATAGTATAAGTAAATCCTAACTCATATTAAATATATATTATTTGGTATTATATTCCTATATTTTAATATTTGATTTAGATTAAAGTTATTGAATGATATATAATTTATTACGATATTTATTCTTCTAATATGTTTTTTTGTTTATTTTTACAACACATTTTTTTCTTTTTAATGTTAAATTTAACATCATTTCTCCATGTTTAGATTATTATTGTTTTTCTGTGGTCGGATTTTGATCCATTTATAGTGACCGATAAAAACAATTATTTTTATATAATGTCCTAATTTTTTTTCCAAGAATGATATCATTAGAATATGTGACAACTGCACTAAATGTCCCTTAATTATGATGTACTTTTTAAGTTGATCCTTAATCTTTAAAACATTTTATATCAACCCCTAAATTATGACTCCTAGTTCTTAAAATTTAAAATGTTTTATGATCTTTAAATAATCAGTATCATTATATTTTTATCATTTCGTTAATGTATCATTAATTCTATTGGCTAAAAATAATTTATCTTTTAACGTCTTGGAGATTGAATCTATAATTTTCTAAAAATTCATAAGACCTTTAAAAAAATATTATTTTTAGGAGACCAAAGTTCAATGCTCAAGACCTTCGAAAGTAATTATTTCTTTTAAAAGATTACGAGTTCAATTTCTAAAATATTCAAAAATTAGTAGACAACAACAACAACAAAACCCTATTCCCATAAACAATGGGATAAGGGGGAGGTAGGATAGTAGGCTGCCCCCGACGCCAGGTAGAGAGCAGCTTCCGTGGAAGACCTCCGACAATCAGAAAATTAAAAATAAAGATAAAATACAATGCATGTATAAATAAAGAAATAAGTCCATAGTTGAACAGACTTCATATGCAGTCTTCAAATGCGTATCTGTAATGGGAAGTAACCACTACAAATAAATTCATGCGTAAAAATCTCTGCATATAGACAGAAAAAGTAAGTACCGACTAAATTTAAAAAGAGGAAACATACAGAAAATGATACCCAGTAGTCAGTGATAGCAAGCTACGATAAGGTAAAAAGTCAAATGGGTTAAAACCTAAACTAAGACAAAACTACTCCGCTACCCTAGTTCTAAGCCTTTATAAATTCCAATGAAAGAATCGTATAAAAAGTAGAAGTCTATCTGTAATGGGAAGTAATCACTACAAATAAATTCATGCGTAAAAATCTCTGCATATAGACAGAAAAAGTAAGTCCCGACTAAATTTAAAAAGAGGAAACATGCAGAAAATGATACCCATTAGTCAGTGATAGCAAGCTACGATAAGGTAAAAAGTCAAATGGGTTAAAACCTAAACTAAGGAAAAATTACTCCGCTACCTTAGTTCTAAGCCTTTATAAATTCCAATGACAGAACCGTATAAAAAGTAGAAGTCATGGAATTTACTACAAAAGACATTAAAAAAAGACAAAATTGCTACACCCTATGGTTGTGGTCCACACTACTCGACTATCTTGGTCTTAAGTCTCCATACTTTCCTGTCAGAGGTCATGTCCTCGGTAAGGGCTAAATCCTTCAAATCAGATCTCACACGGTCTACCCACTTCCTCCTTGGTCGTCATCTCCTTCTGGCACCGTCGATTGTAATCGACTCTACCCTCCTGACCGCATCCGACGGTTGTCGCCTAAGAACATGCCCAAACCACCGTAGTCTTCCCTCCCTCAATTTTTTGAATACATGCACCACTCCCAAGGACGTCCTAATTGCGGAGTTTGGTATCATGTCCCACAGAGTCCTACCACATACCCATCGAAGCATTCTCATTTCTGCGGCCTCCATCCTCCTTACGTGATCCTTCTTGATAGCCCAACATTCGGATCCATACAGCAGTGATGGTCTTATTGCCATTCTATAAAAATTTTCCTTTAGTTTTATAGGCACCTTCTTGTCATACAAAATTCCAGTAGCAGCCCTCCACTTTAGCCATCCCGCCTTTATACGGTATGTAACGTCATCATCTACACCCCCATCTTTATGTATCATAGACCCTAGGTACTTGAAACAATCCTTTGAGGGGAGAACGTGTCCTTCGATGCAAACTTCTACATCTTCATCGTTTTGGTTCCCACTGAAGTTTGAACATAAATACTCTGTCTTTTCAATATTGATCCTTAGACCTTTTTCTTCCAAAGCAGTTTTCCAAGTAGTCAGTCTACTATTCAGTTCATTTTTTGTTTCAGCAACTAGGACAATGTCGTCAGCGAAAAGCATACACCATGGGACACTTTCTGGTGTCGCACAATAGATGTCGTCCATAATCAAGGCGAAGATGTAAGGGCTAAGAGCTGACCCCTGGTGTAGTCTGATTTCCATCGGGAATGCCTCGGTGTCGCCAACTGTAATCCTAACGTATGTAGTAGATCTACAATACATATCACGAATCACTCGAATATAAGCAGTTTGAATCCGTCTCGATTCTAAGGTCTTCCAGATCGTATCACTGGGTACGCTATCATACACCTTCTCAAGGTCAATGAACGCCATGTGAAGATCTCTATTTTTCTCCTATATTTCTCCATAAGCCGTCGAAGTAGATGAATCGCCTCTGTAGTAGACCTGCCTGGCATAAAGCCAAATTGGTTTTCCGAAACCCTAGTAACCTGTCTTAACCTAGCCTCTATCACCATTTCCCATAGATTCATGGTATGACTGAGTAGTTTAATACCTCTGTAGTTAACACAACATTGGGGATCTCCTTTATTCTTATAGATTGGTATCACCGTAGACTCACTTCACTTCTCTGGCATCTTGACAGTCTCTAAAATAATATTAAAGATATTGGTCAACCACTTAACTCCCTCTTCTCCTAAAGTCAACCACACAGTGATAGGAATTTGATCTGGACCGACAGCTTTGTCCCTCCCCATCTTTCTAAGGGCCATTTTGACTTCCTCAGTCCCAATCCTACTTGTAGGGCAGTCATTGGTCGTAGTATGATGGTCGGCTAACCCATCAACCTTACTATCTCTATAGGGAGAGACACCATTATTAAATAAGCCAAAGAAGTAACTACCCCAAGCCCTCTTAATATCATGATCTTTCACTAAAAGAACACCATTGTTGTCCTTAATAAACCTAATGCTACCTAGATCCTTTTTCCTATTCTCTCTGGATTTTGCAAGCTTGAAGATGTCGTTTTGTCCTTCCTTGGTGTCTAATCTCTTGTATATTTCCTCGTATGCTTTATCATTTGCTTTAGCCACTGTTTTCTTGGCTACCCGCTTTGCCTCCTTGTATCTTTGTTTAGCTCTCGATCTTTCTTTGTCATCATTGCATTGTAGCAACGCCTTGAAGCAAGTTTGCTTTGTCTTAACCTTAGTTTGGACTTCGTCGTTCCACCACCACGATTCTTTATGTTTCTTTACCTTCCCTGTCGACAACCCAAGGATGTTTTTGGCCACCTCCCTGATGGAATTTGTCATATTCTTCCATAACAATAAATTCAAAAATTAGTAGAGTTTATGACATTAACAATAAATTCAAAATATAACGATTTCAATAGTTTAGGTACTAATATAAAATATTTTAAATTTTAGTTATTATTTTAGAATTAGATCATAATTTAGGGACTGATATAATATGTTTTAAAATTTAGAAACTAATTTAAAATAGTAACCATAATTTAGGAACCTTATACCCAATTAACTTCTAAAACATTCATGTATAAAATCTTTAAAATTTTAGATAATAGGTAAACTATGCATTTAATTAATACATAAACTATTAGTTTTGATCCGTTTTAGTACCTAAACTTTCATTTTTTAAATCATACATGACATTTAGTTTTCATTTCATTTTAGTATTCACTGTTAAAACTTAACTTGTTTAGTACATAAACTATCAGTTTTAATTAGTTTTAGTACATACACTTTTGATCCTTTCAAAACTTAACTTTAAATTTTGAACGGGATACTAAAATGAAACAAAAACTAAAGTTTTTAACGGTGGGTATTAAAATGAAGTAAAAACTAAACTTTAGCTATAATTTGAAAAAATTAAAAGTTTAGGTACTCAAATAGATTAATATTGATAGTTTAGCTACTAAATAATAATTTACTCTTAAATAATAGAGAAGATGACGGGACCGTGAAGTAAGTGGAAAATACGAAGAAAAATAGACCCACAAAATGGGATGACATCAGCATTGAGCTGTTATAAATTTATTTTTAGGGTAAGCTACACAAATGATTACTAATTTTGGGTAAGTGTTTATTTTCACCATTATGTTTAAAAAATTATAAATCGATCACTAACGTTATCGTTTGTTATAAGATAGTCACTCGATGTTAACATCTATTATTATAGGTGACGGGAAGCTGATATGGCACGTTAACTGCTGATTTAACACTGTTTGACCAATATTTTGACCCACGCTTCTTTTTCATCTAAACTCTCTCATCTCCATAGCTTCGAAGAAATGCGGCAATGGGGTTCTCGACTTAGATATTTTTAATGACTATTACAATCATTCTTTGAAACGAGCGAGCATAATCTTTTGAGCAAGCACCATATTTTCATTGTTGAAGGAGATTTCAACGACGAGGCGCTATTGACGAAACTCTTCGACGTCGTTCC